TGCCCATGGAAAAAAATTAAAAGTTCGGACTAAGAATCAATGTTCTTCCCAGAAACAGAGCAGGAAAGTGAATAATCTTAATCAAATGTGATGAGAAAGCAAAAAGGCAGATGGAGGGCTGAGTTCTCAGGTAACTTCTGTACATTTCAGTTGCCATCACTGATCTAGTCCCTGCTTGTGCTGCCTTAGAAACTAATGTGCTGCCTTAGAAACTAATGCCTTAGAAACTGGACAGCTCCAGGGCAGATGATGCTGTGTGTTACTCCGGGCAGGAGTTACCAGCAACCCAGGGACCAGAGTTAGTGTGACTCTCTATGGATTTCCCTGCTAAGCAGTGAAAATCTGACAAATGAATGATGCTCAGCAGTAACTCACGTACTGTGAGCGTGTATCCTCAAACCAGTTTTGTAAATTGGGACAGAGGGCTATAATTGGCCTTGCTGAAGTGGCCTTTGTTTTCCACAGCTCATGATGTTACACTGAATAACTCCTCTAATTCATGACACCTGAATAAACGTCAGGAAAACTGGTATGGAATGCACACTCTGCTATCTGCAGCCACCCTGCAGTCCAGCCTGGCCAAAGTCCCTTCCCTGATCCCTACACTGAAGTCAACTCTCATGATTAAAAAATGCTTCTGGACTGAAAATACGTCCCACTGATAACAGGCTTGATTGGAGACTTGAGCTGTACCTCAGCATGGCCTGCAACAGTTGTAACTCTGCCTGGCTTTAGGGTCCATTTAGGTATCTTTTTTCACTTAAAATATTCCCTGACTGCTCCAAAGCACATTAGGCTGGAAGTTATCAGACTCCATACAGAAGAATAAAAAGAGTACATCTGAACTGGTCAACATCAGCTTTTAACAAACAGAGTGCCCTATCAAAGAAAGATTATAAAAACATCCCTGTGGGATACTTTTTACAGTTGCTTTGGATTTCATCATCTCTATTTTCTCCTCTGGTTCAATTATTTCCAACAAAAAAGAAAATGTTTGGCTTCTTTGGCTTAAGCTACAGACTTCCTGCAGTTAAATTGAAAAAAAAAAAAGGCAGTCTTAAATACATCCAAGTGTTTTAGCTGAAAGTGATGCCTTTCAGTGCTGTCTGAGCCCTGAGCAGAGGAGCAAGCCCAGCCTGCAGTGGCCCTTGGGCTCACAGCTGTCCCACCAGGCTCTGCACCCACACAGGCATAGCCAGAACCTGCAGGAGGGGCTGAGCCAGCCAAGAGGAGTGCCCTTCCCCTTCCCCAGCCCTTCCAGAGGAGCTGCCAAGTGATCCTGAGCATCCCCCAGGGTGGGGACTGTGAACATCCATGATCCAGAACCACCACCCGCTCCCCTTCCTCCCTGCCCTACCACAGGCACGGCCCAGGAGCCAAACTAGGAATGTTGTAATTAAGGGTAGTTGTGAGCCCTTTTAAAATTGAGCATCCTGCTGAGAAATCCTGGACCAGAGAGGTAAGGAACACACACTGCCTTGGGTCCTATTGAAGACACAGTTAGAGATGATGTCAGTACAATTTATGGATCCAAGGATATGTTATTTCAATAGACATTTCATGGTATCCATTATAGTTACAGATGTTGCAAGCTTCAATTATTAATTTATATGCTCATAACTTTCCCAAAGCCAGATCACTTCTGTTCAAATGTCATTTTGTTCTCCTTTACAAAGTGTTTTAAGGGAGGGTTTTGACAAAACGTTGTTTTCTGTTGTTTAGGTTAAAAGATGGAAAAGCATGGAATGGTGTGCCAATAGAGCTCTAATTATATTCTTTTGAGCATAACATACAGACAAGACAGCACACCCAACACTAACCACCCACCCCCCTCAGTGTGGACTCTATCCTTATGAGGAGAGCTTAAGCTTGGGTTTCTGGGTAGATTTAAAAAATTAAAAGTTTTAATGTGCTGGAAAGCATCTCCGTGTGTGTGTGTGTGCCACTGCCCTCTGGTGCACAGAGGCAGGAGAGTTTGGCTGCTCAGTAGGGACAGAGGTGTGGGCACCCACCCACTCCTGTTCCTGCCTAGGGCAAGGGCTCAGGTCCTGCTATTTGGGAGCCAGGCTATGAAAGGAGTTAAATCCTCACCCCCGAGAGTGTTAGAAACTACAATCCCTGTGTAAGATCTGTCCCTTTCTGTATTGTTTCCATAGAAAATGCCACACAGAAAGAGTGTGCAAATATGGTGTCAGTCACACCACCTCAGGCTGCTGTCTCATCAGCTGCTTATCCTAAAATATCTGAGAGATTTGGTGCAAGTGGTGCTGTGCTCCTGCTGAGCACTACCAAAGCAGGGCCCTGAGCTTCTCTGACCATTTGTTCTCTCCTGGTGGATGTTCCTGGCACATGACAGACCGACACCTTCAAGCCTGAAAGAGTTTTGCCCAATCCAGGGGGTTGGGATAAAATACAAGATTTAGCAGGGTAGATATGTTGGGCTGCATTCAAGGATAAATGTAACCTGGTCAGTAGTAGTTGTAATTATCCATTATGGACATTAGTGGCCAGAAACCTATGAAAATCATCTAAAATTTCAAAATATGTTTAGGATCATGGCCACACTGTCCCAACCTCCCATCAGGAGGATAGCTCTGGTTGCTGTACAGAGCAGGAATTTATCTCAGCTGGAGCTGCTGTGCTCCCTGGGGATTTATTGGAGCAATTAAGATGACTTATCCAAATGTCTCAGTCTATGGATATGCACCTTTTCATGCTATTTTTCCATCAAAGTCGGGTTTCACACATTTCTGATTCTCAGTTTAACACCAGTGACCATCAGATCTGAGCAGTTCTATTTCAGAATTTTCTCCCAATGAGACTGGTGTGAGTTTTGCCAATTGGAACACGATGATATCTAGTGCTCTGGAATGATAGTTGGGTGACCTTCTTAGCTGTATTTGATAAATAAATTACTTTTCTCTCTAAAAATGAGGGCTGTTCAGCTGTGCATCAAGTTCCAAGAGTTTAGTCTCATAGTTTTGAAAACTTTGGTTTGATAACAGAATGGAAAAAGTTCTGTAGCCCTGATTTGTGCTGAGGGAGGGAATTAGGATGAAATTACTGCCTTGGTTTGGTTCCATCTCTGACTTCTTTAAACTTGTCTATTTAAGCCTGTTTAAACAGTGCCTGAACCATCTCGTATGGATTAGCCTAATAAAAAAACCCCTCAAGTATATATATGAAGTTTCACATCATTTATTTCTAGGGGATAATTTCAAGTTTTTATCTTAACTGCTACACAGGGGAGGTAGGCTAGCCCCTAAGCCTCAAACTGTGATTCTTTTGTGGTTTCTTTAAAAAAAAATAGTTGTAGGGGCTGACAAAGATTTCTCTATCAGTTCTGTGCAATTTGCAAGCAGAATGTCATCTCTGTTCTAGTCAGCAGCCACAGGAGCTCAGCTGGGGCCCTGCATGTCAAGCTGAGAGCTTTTTTTCCACCATAATAAAGGTCCTGCAGGCTAAACTGCTGCTAGTTCATCAGTGACACTTCTGAAATCCCCTTGATGGGCTTACACAAATGTAGAGATTCCTCCTCTTCAGTGCTGCTGATGGTGTACAACAAAGGTAGTTCTCCAGTCATGCTCACCCTGCTTTGTCTCCTGTGTGTGTGTGTGAGCATATTTATGTGGACATCTGCATGGATAGACACAGATAAATAAAATATGGGCATACAGGCAGGACAGACAGCTATTTATGCATGTATTTAATGTTATTCTGGGACTTGAAGTGGAAGGAGCAAGGAAAAGCTCCTAAAAGCTTATTTTAAAAGCCCGTGGCTATGGCATCTTCACCCAATCAGAAGCTCTTAGGCACAGGGTGGGATTATCTGGGTACCAGGATTTGGACTCGATGATCCTGATGGGTCCCTTCCAGCCCAGCATATTCTAGGATGAGCACTGTTTTCCCCAAAGAATAAATATAAAAATGAATTAGTATGCTAATTCTTACAACACAGTCCCTGCTTGTTTAACCTTTATTTCCTTCAATTTGAAATAATCCACTGTAACCTTTCCAATTTTTAAAGACTTTGTCTCTAAACTGTGGCACCCAAGTAGGTGATCAAGCCAATACTTCCTTTTCCCCAGCCAGACACACTGGGAAGAGGCAGCAGATTGTCTTTTCAGGAGATTCTGGCTGGAAAGCTTTCCTGGGATTATCATCACATGTCAAGGATGATGTCCATATAAAACATAGATTTCCCAACAATACAACTTCCTTGGAAAGAAAATTTTGTTTTCTTTAGTTCACTTATTTTGAATAAATAAAGGAGTCCATGGGGAAGGAGTCAGTCCTTCAAGAAAATACTCGTTCTTATAATTACCATTTCCTGCTTCCTCTCTACCCTGCCAAAAATTCACCATAAAGAAGAGGTGTGGTAATTAATTGCCTGCCAAGTGGCACAATTAGTGTTCTGCAAATGCAGGATCCTCTAGGTGAAGCGATACAGCTGAGGTATAGAATGTCCCATTCTGTGTTTGAATACCAGTACAGACACACGCACACATGTGCTGAGAGGATGTGTTGTGTGCATTTTTATTTACTTTTTTTTTTTTAGAACACTTTGATTTTCCTTTCCTTCAAAGTACTTTTTGAAGGACTTAATTTCTCTGCAATATAACTCATGAGCAAACACTCAGTAAATGCAAAATGAGGAATGCAGTCATGGTTCTAAAAACATTTAATATTCTTCAAACTGATGCCAGTTGTGCGCATTGACAGTAATCCTGTCTAATCCCTTCCACATGTATTATCTTTGTACACCTGCTTTCATTGTCTCACTTATCAGTTTTGAATACTTAGAACCACAATTTGCAGGAAGGCAAAGCAGCAGAACAAAGCATGCATGCACTGACAGCTTGCTACACTTCAGTTTTGCATTGTAATGATAAAACATAATTCTACATTTCGGTGCTTGGAGTCAACACCTTCCATTGAGACATTTTTCCTCCCTCCTGCCCCCCCAGCTGATGTCTGTCTGTGTTTGTGTTCCTTGGCAGACTGACTGAAGCACACAGAACAGCTGTGAAAGTCATCAGGAGAATGCAGTATTTTGTGGCCAGAAGGAAATTTCAGGTAAGCAGCAGGATTAATCCCAAGTGCATCTCGTGAGCTCGCGGGACATCGAAGGCGCCCTCAGACTTGTCTTGGTGAGGGTGGTTGTAACAAATCAAAGGTGTTTTTGAGGTTCTTGGGCTCACACCTTTTGTGGATTTTTTAATGGCATGGGCAAAATTATCAGTGATCCATGGATGTAGTATGCTACAACCCCTGACTTTGTGGAGTCACCATCATTATTTTTGCTTCTCTTTTTTTACTGCACTTTTTTTTTGGGCTTCTGCTTGTTTAACTGTACTGCCCAGTACTAATCCATCCACTAGCAGAAGTGAAGAAAACACTGGTGTTGGAGTGAACAAACCTCTGTTAGGGTGTCTGCAAAAATACTGATCATAACAAGAATGTTATCAATCATCTGATCAATTAGGGAATGTTCAGTCCCATGCTGTGTATGGCTGACAGATCAATAGGCTTCACTGATGAGTACTGTGGATGCAAAGTTGCTTTCACAGGTGTGACTCACGTTTCCAAATGTATTTCCCAGAAAGGGACCTCCTAGGCCATATTTTATAAAATTGTGGAGCATCTGCTGTCTGGAAATTTGCTGTCTTTATGAAGTGTTCAGTTAATTTTCTCAATCAGGTTACAAAGTGCTCAAACTGAATGTGCTGCATTGAAAATACAGTTTCATTTTGCCTGTTTAGTGAGACTTTTTATGATAAATCTTGATTGGGATGTGATGCTGATATCATCATTCTCATCATCCATGGGCTGGAAATGCCATGGAATTGAAAAATTAACTTCTGGACTGATTTTCAAAGCCCTCATTATTTCCATCTTAAGGTTCATGCTTTTTTTTTCCCAAGAGGATGCACTGCAAGTTAATGGCCTTTCATAATCCTTTTGAAGAGGTTTTAAGAAAATAAATCAAAAAAACTACATTTCAGGGAAGTTTGATTAGAGCTGAGCACTTAAATTCATAGAAGGATAGAGGAATAGCAGCCTGAGATAAGATCCCAGCATTCAGAAGACTCTAAATTAGGGTGGATAGAACATCTTATATATTTCCTAATCCCATGCAAACATGTATCTTCAGATAACCATGCCTTTTGAAAGAAGACTAGGAGAAGTCAGTTTGTTAAACTCAGCAAAAAAACATGACAGCAGGATTATATTGTAAATATACCAGAGAGATAAACACTATGGGAAATGAAAGAAAGAAAGAAAGAAAGAAAGAAAGAAAGAAAGAAAGAAAGAAAGAAAAGAGGAAGAAAATAAGGACACTAGTTCTGTAAAATAAAGTCAGTTTATAAATTAGTTCGAAAGAAAGAAAGAAAGAAAGAAAGAAAGAAAGAAAGAAAGAAAGAAAGAAAGAAAGAAAGAAAGAAAGAAAGAAAGAAAGAAAGAAAGAAAGAAAGAAAGAAAGAAAGAAAGAAAGAAAGAAAGAAAGAAAGAAAGAAAGAAAGAAAGAAAGAAAGAAAGAAAGAAAGAAAGAAAGAAAGAAAGAAAGAAAGAAAGAAAGAAAGAAAGAAAGAAAGAAAGAAAGAAAGAAAGAAAGAAAGAAAGAAAGAAAGAAAGAAAGAAAGAAAGAAAGAAAGAAAGAAAGAAAGAAAGAAAGAAAGAAAGAAAGAAAGAAAGAAAGAAAGAAAGAAAGAAAGAAAGAAAGAAAGAAAAGAGGAAGAAAATAAGGACACTAGTTCTGTAAAATAAAGTCAGTTTATAAATTAGTTCGGTTAAAAATTAGGATATTTCAAACCACTAGAGATATAATGTTCTGGAGCTGTCAGACAGTGGCAGTCATGTCAAACCTTAAAAACTGAATTTCATCAATTTATGGAGAGAATTCTATGAGTCAGTGACAAGGTAGAAGAAGAAGAAGAAGAAAAAGGAATAATCTTTTGTTTCTTCCTTTCTTGGGGCCATGAAATAGAGTTTCTAGAACTCCCCATGCTAATTAGATTCTGGAAGTTCAAAGCTGGGTAATATTATTTAGTTTTGCATGCTGACTGTGGCATACTGAGCTGAAATGGCCAGGATTTGGGATTATCAACAGAATGAAAGTCAAAGGAATTGTTCAAGTGCTGCATTTACCACACTTCTCTGGAAGCCCATTACCTCCTGTCTTCAGTTGTATCACTCTAGCATTTCCTGATAAAAACATGACAGAGGATTGTGCCTAAGTTTGGCAGAACATGAGATGCCCAGATCTAAATCTTTATGGAAAAAGTGGAGGGGAAAGTGGTGAAAACTGGAGGGATTTTTTTACTCAGCTTCAGAGGACTCAGCCAGATTGCAGCACTTTGCAACTGTAGGATTCAGAGCTGATGGTTTGATAAAAGGGATAACTGTCAGAGGACTTCTTTTGAGGGGGAAAAGAAATTTCACTGGGAATGAGTAGAATTAATTATGCACATAGTAGCCCATTGGGGAGAGGGGAGGGAAAGGCTCCCCAGCACATCCAGGCTCTGTGCCATGCACGGTGTTTAAATAGAGAGTGTCCAAAGGAAAGGACACGGGATTTAGCCAAAACGCTCTCCAGGCACCCCCCTTAGTCCATCTAAAGAGTGATACTGGCATTGCTTCTCGGGGTGAAGACAATAGGCTGCTTTTCTGGCCAGAAATAGTGATGTGTCAGCGTCTGCAAAATGTGGAGCTGGGGAAGGGGGAGAGAAAAAGCCCGACCAAAAACCGAACGATAAACTGAAAGCTGAAACCTCTCTGCCCACAAAGCTTCTGCTCCCAAATGCACTCAAATGCACACACACACACCTCCAAAGCCACAACTCTTCTGAAAGTATTGGTGCAGGTAAGTGCTGTGTGCATAGAAGGCATTTTGTCACGAAGAGCTCTGGCTTCTTCATTCATTTCACAGGATTTGTTTCCATTCCAGTTCCATGCTTTCATTTGAAATTTCTAGGATTGTGTGGCAGCCTTCCAAGCATGACTCCAGCACATACTGTAGGTGTTCAATGCATGTGTGCAGTGGTGCATGCTAATGGCTCTGGCTGAGGCTGTGACAGAGTGCAAACAGACAACAAGATGACTAATGAGCTGTTTTCAGTAATTTTCAATTACTAGATTTGCAGTTTACCTTTGCTTTTTTTCTCCCCCCCTTCATTTCTTGAGTCAGAGCCAAAAAGGGAGACATTTTGCCCCACATTTCCCATAAGGGTTCTCAAAATGCTGGTCTTTCCAACAGGCCATGATTTGCGTTGCTATCTCCCCCACGCACGTTGATTTTACTTGCTAAAATTTCACCGTGCTGCACTTTTTATAACCACATCACTTTCTGCAAATTCTCCGGACTTGTTTTGAAATTCGGCCACAGTAGTTGCAGCAAGAAACCAAAGCTTGGCAGAAGCACCTGCATTCTCATTAGGATGGGAATATAGCTGGGCAGGTGGGAGTGTTTTCACTCTCTTGCAATTTTTTACCTGTCCTTTCTTATTTTAATTGCACCTTTTTTTCTGATCTCAAAGGTATCACGAAAGACAAAGGAGGACAAACAAAACCCATGTGCAGCAGTCTCCTGACTTATGCAGAGCATCTGTCTTCCCTGCTCCTCAAGCAGCAATATTTCTGTCACCAGACATCTCTGGTCTTCAGAGATGTTTGATTCTGGGTCCAAGTGCTCTGAGTTGGGCCAATCCCTGGGGTTCAGTCCCCTGACATTATGATTAACACATGGCTTTGGAATGAGCCAGGAGATACTGCACATGGGAGTCCCAAATAAATTATCCATCTTGGATTTGTGTTCCCCAAATACACTGTGAAGGGCTAATATTTTGCTCAGTATGGAGTAACATGAAGACATGACTCTAACTGACAGTAATGGGAATCATTTGGCTCCGTCTCCACAACAAACATTCACTCCCACAACGGCTGTGTATTTTTTTATTCATTACAACAACTGTTGCAAAATGGCGGGCAAATGGGCAGATAAAAAAACAGAATGAAGGCCTGTCTGAAATAGAAATCCAGTTTGGCCAATGCTCACCTTTCAACTTGCTGCCTGCCTCCTTTCCCAGCAAGCTCGGAAGCCGTACGACGTCCGGGACGTGATTGAGCAGTACTCCCAAGGACACCTCAACATGATGGTTCGCATAAAGGAACTTCAAAGGAGGTAGGCCCTGTCTACCCCATGAAATATCTGATTCCTCTAGTGCCAGCTGGCTTTAGGAGAGATGTGTTCTTAATGAACAGTAATTGTCCAAAATTGCAAGCACAACAGGGAGCACAATATCTGGAGGATTTAACTTGGAGCCATTTTTAACCCTTTTTATGACCAAGTTTACAATTACCCTTTATTCTCCTCTCCTTTTTCTCCAAGTGGAATTAAAAGAAATGAAGGTGCATGCTGTGAAGTTTATAGTGTGATCCAAGCTTTTCTGTCCTCTTCTTAGAAAAGGAAAACTTTTCAAATAATGATTTACCTTTCTGTTTCCACTCTGTGGTTCTCCACAACTGAAAGAAATCTGTTTCGCTTGTGCTGCACTATCTGGAACTTTTCCCTGCCCACATTCCTCCATGCACATGCTTTCTCCACGTTTGGGGTTTGCAGCTGAAATATTTTGCCACAAAACTATTCTATTCTGTTTTAGCACAAAGTGCTTTTCTCTTTACAAATTAATGCTGTGGACTGGGACACCAGAATGAACTCCCCTGGCCCTTAAATTAAATGAAAAAAAAATCCTATTGAATGGAATCTACTGTGTCAACATATACAGATATTAAATCCGCCTGCATGAGACTCTAGGAATAGTTGCAAATGTTATTAAGAAGTCATTCTGTTTGTATAGTCTTTGTTATTAGATTACATAGGACACAGGAGAACTATGTTTTAGTTACAACTTGAAAGTCTGAGAAATATTAGTACTCACGAAAATAGCAATAATAATATGGTTTGATTTTGAAGGAAAACTCTTGAAGAGCTAAACTGCTGACTGTGTGTGCAGAAAGTCATGCTAGTCTCATGTTTTTGCTTGTTTTGGTTTGGGTTTAGAGCTACTGTAAATTCTCATGTAAATTATTCTCCCGTGCTTAGCAACAGAGTTTAAGTTGTTTGGTAATTGCTCTGCTGGTAATTTTCTGTTTGCTTCTCAGGTTGGATCAATCCTTGGGAAAGCCAGGTCTTTTCCTTCCAGGTATGGTGACTGCATTTTATGCAAAATTATTATCTTCATAACATTGGGAAAATACCCTTGGCTAGAGTAATGTGGATTTATAATCCAGCCAATCATATATAAATGTAATTCTGTTAATAAGCCCTGGAATGCCTGTGTAAAGATAAATGCATTTCATTCAGGTGGTAGGGGAGTAAATGGAAATTAAGAATAACTGTTAAAATGTGTATTAGAACATGATGAGATGGAAACATCTGAGGGAAAACCTTCTACAAAAATAGTCTTTCTAAATCTTTTGGTCTGGGCCTGGGATTAAAATATATGTTTATTCCACTTAAAAAGGTTTCTTCCTTCCTGAACTCATGTCCCATATCCACAAGTGACTTGGAGCACAACTGAGTGTGGCAAAGTAATTTCAGAGCCTCTAAAACATAGCATGTTGTCAGTGGTTAATATTATCAGAACAAGGAATATCATTCAAAACACATTTTCAACATCTGATTGCTACAGAAGGCTCAGTAGTACAATCCTTTTCCCCTGTAGCTGGTTTTGGGCCACAGGAAAAGAATCTGTCAGCTTGAATACTTCTATAAATATTTATGCATGGGATTTCATTCCACAATGTGCAAGCTAAATTTATGGAAAAACGTCCCTTACCTCCAAGAATGCATTATTTTATTTCAAATATAGCATTACCAAACTGAAACTGCAATTTGTGCTTGAAAAGACCGGTGTTCAAAGCACTTTTTTTCAAGCAGTTTCTGGTTTCAGAGGAGGTGAATAATTAGAAGCTCATTGTACAATTATGTTCTGAGAGGTTCAAGAAGCTGGAGATGATCAGGAAGTTTGGTCTCACCAAATCTTGAGTAAAAAGGGTCATAGAAACCACTGGGAGGGTCTTAGGTGGGCCTGAGGCTTTGGACAAGCGTTGGAAAGAATCTGAAGTACCAAGGAACTGACTGGAAAAGGTGGAATGGTGGTTAGGGAGAGAGAAGCTGGTGAGCTCAGTTAGGGGGTTGCAAGACCAAAACCAGAAGTTATTTGATCTAGTAGTTATTTTATCTAAACCCTCCACAAATCCAAAAATAAGATAAGTGGTTCCAGAGAAATGGTGTGCAGAACTAAACCTAGAGTTAGTTTGCAATTACTCCTGGTGTTGTCCAACCTGCCTTTACTCCCAGGATTTTCCAAGTGGTGAACAGTGAAAAGTGGGTGCAGTATTTGTTTGTTTGGGGTGAAACCAGACTTTTGTACTGTCCTTCTCTATAATAAGGGTTATCCCTGAATTTCCCTCAGAATGCATGTCTTATTCTAGATTGAAAATGGATTTTTTTGTATATTACTTTTCCAGACATTGCTAAAATCCTCATTTTTAACAATATGGGTGTTTCTCTTAGACTATGTTATTTTTGTACTGATGACAAGCAAAAAAGAAATGACAATGCAAAGAAAATTAAACTGCCACAGAGAAAAACATGAAAAGAATTTTCTTTTCCAGTTCCTTTTATTTTTTTCCTGTTTTATTATACTCCCATTCAAAGAATCTTAAGGTCTGACTCCAAGCCCGCTGAAATGAACGGGAATCTTTCCAGTGACCTCACTGGGGTTTGGATCAGGTTTTTTTTATTGAAAAGTCCCTGTTGTGGACTTTGATAATATTATATAAAAGCAATTGCAGCCTGTCTGTAGTATTATTACCTTTCAAAAGTGAATGATGTAATAAGAGACAGACTCAGAATCTGAATTCACTGGAAGCAATTTTTGTTATTTTTCAAGTTAGTTTCTCTGAGATAAAAAAGCTCTAAAAGCTGTGTTAAAACAAGATAAGGATACGAGAAGAGAATAAAAGCCATGCTGGGTCAGAGCAGTCCTGACTCCAACGGGGCCAAGAGCAAGGTGCTTTGGGAAATGTGTAAAAAAAGCCTCCAGCCTTCCTGTCAGCTTTCAGCCCATTGCACATCAGAGGTTTCCTGACAAGATTGCAGTGTACTTAGTCTCCAAAATGGTTTCTCCTCAATGAACTTGCTTAATTATCCCTTTAAACTTACAATATCTGCCATATTTTTTACAAAGAATTCTAATAATTCCACCTTCACATGTGCATATAGGGAAAAATTCTCCTTTTTACTTGTTTTGATCTTGGCATCTCCTCCCTTTCTTTGAAACTCCTTCAAGCAGGAGTGGATTTAAAAACACTAAGATAATGAATCAATCTTCCAAGGACCTGGACCCTACTTTTATGAGTATATTCAGAAGACTTTCTCTGAGTTTCATTGGAAGGCTGTAGCAGTGTTCCAGGGGACACTATTTTGTCAGATGAAACAGATTCCTGTAATAATAAACATATGCCTTAATAATGGAAAGTGTTGATGTAGAGGGAAAGAGCATATAATTGAATTTATGGAATTAACAAAGTATACACATACAGCGATGCAAATATATTGTCTTGCTTGACTTTCACTACACACTATGGAGTTAACTGCTTTTGAATGCAATTTTCAAGACTTACTACAGCTTTTCAGGAGCAAAGGTGAAGAATAATGCCAAGGTAAAACAAAAGATCCAGTGTTTGGGTTCAGAAAAATACACAAAAAGCTGATGTTTATCTGCAGTTTATCTGAACCTCTTGGTTCTGCATGACACGGGTGGGAATGCCTGAAGGGCTTTCTTGCAAAATTTTGACAGTTCCATTGTTTGCGTTTTTGTTTTTTTTTTCCTTTCCATTAAGTGCCACCTAAGCTTTCTGATACTTTTTCCTTCCCATCTGTTAAAAAGAAATTGGGTCACTGTATCTTTTAAAACATAATAAATATGCTCAGCTTAAATTTTATCTTTTTGGGATCAATTAATATTTGAAATGAGAGATACCTATATTTCTGCGGGAACTGATTCATCCCACCCCTCCTGGAGATGAAAATATTTTGGCAGCTTACTTTTTAGGCTGTCCAAAGGAAATCACAAGTGCCTGATCCAGGAGTATGCCTTACCTTTTTTAATTCCTTCCACCAATCAGCTGCAAAAGGTTCGGACTGACAAGAAAAGAGACTCCAACCAAAAGCCGCCATGACTGAGGCAACTTTGTTATTTGCTATTTTTTGGGCCTGAAGGGGCAATCCTGACCTTCTTTTTCAGTAGCATGCACAGTTTACAAACCCAAGAATCCAGATCTTGCCATAAGCTGATCCAAATCATCCCTGGATGGAGCTTTGGCAGAGCTGGAGCAAACACAGGTCCAGAGGGTGGCATTTGCACCGAGGCAGCCAAATAAGGCAGCGCTGCCTCCTGCGGGGGCTGTTCTGCTTTCTGAGATACCATTTACAAAGGTGTCTCGGTTTGGAAAGACAGCTGTCTGCTAAGGAGAGCAGGAGCCTCCCCTGAAATGGAGAATGTAAACCCCCTCCCTCCAAATTGTTAGAAATTTGAAACTAAGGGGCTCTCAGGCAAAAATATGGGAGCAGGAATAACAGTTTTTTATTAGGGAAGAAAATAAAAAGATAAAATAAACAATGCAGTAAATCAAAACAACACTGACAGTCAGAATAAAACCTGACACCCTGTTGGTCAGGATGCTGGTAGCATCCAATTGGAATGGTGGCTACAGCCCTCCTGGAGTGTCAGGTGTGGTTCTGCTGGAGCAGGGATCCTGTAGAAGGGTGGAATCGTCCTCTGAAGATCCAGTGGAAGAGGCAGCTGTTCCTCTGGGAATCCAGTGGAGAAGCTGTCTTGCTGTCCCAGGATCTCAGATTTTATCCAGTTAGGAATGCTTGGCTCCTCCCTCTGGGCGGAGCATCTCCCCAGTGGGATGCTGTAATTCTTATCAGTCATGCAGGGACATTCAATGGCCTGTTATCAGCAGATGTGTCCCTGGAGGGAGGATTGGTTGTGGAAGAGATGAAGAAAAACTGCCCAGTTAACAGAAGACAACTGCCACACCTCTAACAGATTGCAAATAGAATACATCTTGCCTTGCAATTTGGGACAAAAGGTTTGAGTTGTCTTCAACAATCCGGAATATTTGGCCAAATTCCTCATTTTCTGCTTAAAAGAAGCTAATGGCTTTCAGAAAAATAGGAATATTTTTGAATTAGCTTCCCTCTAGCTGTGTAAAAATCAAGGAAGGACTCTTGCTCTATAAAGCAGAATTATTTCCAGCTTTTACCATTTTCAGACCATCTCTCTGAAATTCATTCACTGTCCTAAAGGTTCTCATAAATACTTTTCCCTAAGCAAAGGAAAAAAAAAAAATTATTTTAAGTTTGGTATAATCTGATGAGATGTAGCACACTAACTGTGTGAAAAAATAAGATTAAGGTGCCATTCCTCCTTTGATTTGCTTTCTTCCTCCTGTTCATATCAGTTTGTGTTATTTATAGCATGTTCTTCCATCTGGGGAAAGAGTTATCATGTCTTGAACTGGTGTGAAGTAAACCTGAAAATATTTGAGGTTTTTTGTTGTTTTTTTTTTTCCTTTGTTTGTTTGTTTTTTGCAAGAGGCATATCTTGTTCTTCACTAGGAAAATAGATGGGCCAGCTTTGTGAAAATATTCGGAAATTAATATAGGACTGTGTTGTTTGAAAGTAGAATACTCAGGAAGGCAAAGACTTCCAGGGAAGAAATGTCCATATTAATTATTATTATTATTATTATTATTATTATTATTATTATTATTATTATTATTATTATTATTATTATTATTAATCTGTATTAACAACTACTCAGTCTCCTGAATAAGAATGCCTATTTCATATTTACTAGTATTTTCTCAGATTCAAATCTAAGTATATAAAATAATGGGATTGTATCATACCAACCATGTGATGCAAGATGCTTTTGATATTTTTTTTCTGAGATAAAATTTTCTCATATATATTTTCATCCAGTTATAAGTAATTGTGCTTCCTTTCATTCTTTGTCTCTGTGCCTTTCCCATAAGCGTTGCAGTTAAGGATTGCTTAGCTGATCTCTGTTTTAGTGCAACACAGAGTAAGAACTCAATACTAAAAGGAAGTTATTTTGGATTACAAAGCGAAGACTGGAGAAATTTAGACATTTCATATTTATAGTTGGCCATGCAATATTTTCAACTCTGTAAAAACAAACAATCTAATGATGTATGAAGTCTGAAATCATCTATCTAGAAAAGACTCAAGAGAGAAACAAAAACATGAGATAGAAATCACACGTACTGGAGCAACTTTATCTGAACTTGTGCCCTCCCTCCTTACCCCTGTGTTTGGTGAATTGTGCACACACCACATTTGCTCTTAAAGATGGTCTCTGTTAGAAGGAAATGCTTGTAAATTAGGGCTGGATGCTGATTCCTGTGGAAGCTGATGAGAAACAGGGGAGGACCACAGCATTTTGTGTCTTTCACATCCTGCGTGCCAGCACACGGGTGTATGAGACACAGCTCCCTCCACGTGCATCATTCCTTCCACTTCTGATTTTCCACATCTTAGAGCAGTGCCACATGCCACAATACAGTCTTTTACTGCTTATCTGCTCCCTATTTTCTTTCCTGTTCCACACAGTTTCAGGAATAACTAAAATAGGAAACAAATTGTTTTGGGATGTCTTGGTGATTATCTGAAGGATGGAATTAGAGCTGGTGAGGAAATTATTATTTTATTATTTCTTTGAAAAGAAATAATAACTTATTATTTTTTAAAAGAAAAAGTTTTTTAAGTATTTCTTCAGGTTTTGGGGACTTTTTGAGGTTAGACCTAAACAAAAATACTGTCTGCCCACTGCTGTTCAAACCACATCCCAATTTAGAAATCTTAAAAGTCATGCTTTTTTTCTGATATATACTTTGAAAGATGTGTTTAGAGATTTACTAACTAGAAAGTAGACAGCAGAGCCAATTATTCATTTCAGGCAGAGATGAACACAGAGATAAACTTGAGCCTCAGCCACTTGCATTTTAAGTTTCTGAGGTTATGAACGATGAATAGTACACATGTATGAGCCAAGCTGTGTCACTTATTGTCTGTCCCACATTTTCTTTCCTGATTTTATTTGCTCCTGCAGGTTCTCTGGGGAAACACTTCTCTTTTCTAAGCCTACAAAGAGCTGCCAAGGGTGCAGGACCTTTTAAAGGTTCTGGATGGTGTGAGGAGGAGAAGGAAATCACAAAGTGTTCTTGCCAGCACTGCTTTTGCTGGTCTTCCTCTGGGGTTGTGGTGTGTGCAGCACAAGTTACCTTGAGGTGAACTTTGCTGCAAACAGATCACTAAACACATCCTATAGCAAATATAAATGGTAAAGCAAGTATGACTCCCTGAGAAATCCAGGAATGTGATGAGCACACACAAGCACTCGCTGTGAATCCTGACACAGTGCAAATTCATATCTCAGCCTACCTTCCTTCATATCTCAGCCTTGCTCATGCCCTCAGCAAAATTGACATAGTTAGCCTTAAAATCCAGACCTTAAGCACTCATGAAAATGGAGCAATGCATGAAAAAATCCAGGAGTAATTATTCCAGGTGTTGGAAATACACTTAAGTAGAGAAAAACATCCAACTTCCATTTGCATCAGCTTGTGAGTTATTTCAGTATTGGACTGTGGGTTTTAACTTGTGAATGTTGTCTCCCAATTCAGAATATGTGTGGGTCTGTGCTTCATTCCCTGTGCAATAATACCCTCAAACTGTGGCATTCCTTAGCAACAGATCCTGTGAGCAGAAAGCACAGACCCCATTTTCCACAGTTTTCACTCTTGGCTCCCAATCCCACCCTTTGCAGTGGGAGGTGTAACTGGGCTTTACTAAGCAGACCTCATAAAGAGTAGGAGGGAAAATGAGGATGCAAGAGCTTTTCCCAATGTCACCCCTTTGCAGAGAGGAGATGGATGGATGGATGGATGGATGGATGGATGGATGGATGGATGGATGGATCTCTATTACTCCAGCCCTTGCACCCCTGGATATGCTGCCTGCTAGACCTGCAGCCCCAGCTCAAAACTATTCTGATTTCTTTATGTAGAGCAAGTTTACCTTGCTCAGGCCAGTAATATTCAAAATTTCAGGTGGGGCCCAGGTACCTTGCCCATTCCATCCAGCTACTGAAATAATTAAACAGCAAAACAATGTTACTCCAGACTCCATCTATACTCTTTCATGTCCACAGACTACCTCTACCAATGTCGAAATTGCCCTTTAGACTAACTTAATCTTGTCAGTCTGACAAACTAATTCCCTTCTCTCCAGCCACTCTCACTTGTTTCGTTCTTTCTTGTTAGGTTCATGAATTTTATGCTACCCTACTATTACCAGCCTTTTTTTTTTTTTTTTGCTTTGAATACCATAGATATAATTCATAGTTTGTATTTATTCTCCACCTAATGAATGTCCCATTTTTATTCTTCTTTCTTTAGAAAAAGGGGTAGACAAAGGATACTACAGTATAGGAGCCAGACTGATCCGGCTGGAGGATAAGGTAAGTGCATGAAAGCTTGCTTTTTTTTTTTTTCTGAGCAATGATATCTGATCTAGAGACCTGCAAGATAGTATCTTGGCATGATTTACTTTAGAATTACAGGGCTCCATAATAATGAATAATATCCTAATTTTTGTGAGGGAGTTGATGAAGTTTCATGTGCGTGGTGTTCAGCATTAACCATTTACCTGCTATGCAGTCCTGGTTCTCGTTTGTAAAAGGAGCTGCTTTCATGTTGAAGTCAAACGACACATCTTGTATACAAGTGCTGTGAACTGGCTGGTGTTTGTCACACAAGAATTAGTGAATTAAACAGAAATGTTAGTGTCAGGAATCTTTGTGAATAGCAGCAGTTGACATCTCATTTACAAATCCTGAGATTCTTTAATGTTTACTGCATTTTTTCCCTCTGTGCTGTTACCTTTGCACATTTTCTGCCTCTCCCTCACTGTCTTCTCTCCAGGAATATGTTAATCTTTGTTATTAATTAGAGTTACTTAGCAGTATGCCCAAAGGCCAAAGCTCAGTGAGGCTCTATTGTCTTAGACCTCTCCCAAACATTCTCCAGAGCTTTTTCCACTCAAGTTATAACAAAAATACAAGTTTGCTCAAAACTCAGACTCTATTTCCCTGGCAGTGTTTTAGTCAGCTCTCTCACCTACCTCTAAAAGTTCATGTCCCTCCATCAGGGTACTTTGTGTGGGCAGAAGCAGCACAGTGGCTTTGCTGGGGAGTGTGATGGTGCTGAGACAAAAGTCCATTTGAATTTGGCCTGTTATCCACTGCCTGTTTGTATCCTTGTCTCACACAAATTTGTCATAGAAATTCTCTTTTCATCTTTTTTCTGGGGAAGTGAGGTGAGAAGGAAAGAGGAAAGAAACTCCAAGAAACTCCTCATAATTCTTAAGAATTGTGCATCTTGCCAAAAAGCAGAAACTGAAATTAAACTAATAGAATCAAAAATAAAATTTTTATTGATGACTGCTAGAACAACATTGGAAATATGTGACACGGCACTGTCAAAGGACAGATTTTCTCTGATTTTTAACTTTCTTGCTCAGTGTCAGAGAATCAGCCTATCAGATAAAGACATTATCTGAGCTAATTTTAAAGTGGATTGATCCCTTGTGCAGCCACAGCTGTTCAAAGTGAATATGGCTTTCCTTCAGATTGCCTTACTCACTTTGCAAGAGATAAATTGCTCTCTGGCCTCTGCATAGTCTGTAAATTCATACCACAGCTTCATTCAGATTTCTTGAATGTGCATATAAAGAGAAACCCCCAATACAGATTGGAAATTTAGCAATAAAATGTCTGTGATAATAGTTGGAGTGCTTTGAGTGAGAAATGCTGCTGGTATTGTAAATACCTCTGGAAGCAGCAGTTCATGGTCTCCTGACTTCTCCATATTTATGAAGAGGAGAGGTGAGAAAGTTTTTAGTGTGTCTGGACTTAGTCCAGCTTTAGCACAATATGCTGTGGTTTGATCAGTTTTATTTCAAAGCCTGACTTAGAGTGCTGCAGAGGCATCTTGCTATAAGAAGAGGAATGTTACAGGAGATGCAGGAAATGCTCTGGTGACTGATCTCTGTTGCAGATACCTGCTTGTGTTCTGCCTTTAATTTAGGCGTGTTGTAAATAAAGTCAGTGCCACCTCAAGCCATTAGCGGGCAAGACCAAGCTGCTATTGTGTTTTAAGAATTAAACTTTAAATTTTGCATGGGAATTGGTGATTTCCCCCTCTCTCCACTTATTGTGGAGAAAACACATAGAAAAGAATAAAATTTCTCAAGATGTTTTCATAAGATGAGTCAATCATTGCAACTTCCTTCTTGTTCTCAGACCAAACTGCAAATGTAAAATAAATGCCAGACTCAGAGGGAACCCAGGGAATTTGATCTTTCAGTACAAATTTTCATTCTTTCGGGTGTACAAGGCTTCAGTCTCATATCCCTGCTAAGTAAGAAGACATGATGCAGAAGAAAGGCAAATATTTGTTGTGTTGGTTTGCTTCAGGTTTTGGTGGTGTAAATTTGGGGGTTTTGGTTTGTTTGAGGTTCTTTTTGTATTTGCATCTTTTTGGCACATCAGGCTAAAATACATATGTTTACATAATGAATGCAAAGTTAAGCTTCCCAGCTATCTCTGTTTTAATGGGACAATAGAAACTACTGCATCCTGCTGTCAGACTGCTTCCCTTAAATTATTTTCCCATGTCTCAAGGGCTCTCCTGCTCTAACAGTTCACTGTGTAGTAAACTGCTATGTGTCCAAATGTGAAACAATATTGGAATCAGGAAGGACAGGCTGAGTTTCAACCTCTGAGGAGAATAAATGAAGCAAGGGCATGTCTGACATCAGGCTCCAGCTGGTGGTGAAAAATGATCCCCCCCTTGGAACTAGAAAACCTTTGGGATCAACCTCTTCCCCTGGGAGAAATTATTTTGACATTCAGTCACCCAGTCTAGTGATGGCAGCCTCCCAAAGGAGTGACACATCTGATAAAAGGACACATTTTTGGACAAAGGCCAGTTGGTGCAGACTGATAAAAATGCAGTGTGGATTTGAGAATGCTATCTGCCTAAATGAGCTGTATCAATAAGCAATGAACACACCTCTGGTTCAGACTGACCTTCCCCACCAGCATTTTGCAGTTCATTTGTTTTAGCTGCCTCTCCTGAAGGGAATCAGAGTGTAACAAACTCATTGAGAGCTGTGTGTTGTTCTGTATAAAGCCATAATTACTCTTTTTGCAAAGTAAGAGAGAGGGAAGCACACATTTCTGATGGTTAAGATGAACTCCATTCCCTGGAGAGGTTTGCTATTATTTCAGTAAAAACATGACATTTGCTGTACAGAGAGGCAGAGGCACAGGTCTCTGAAGGGGTTGCTTGGTGACAGGTAGAAGCTTTGAGGCAAAAATGTTGCAAAGACACAAAGATAACAGCCTTCCATTCATGTGGCATGAGAGCAGTGCCTGCAGCCTCTCTTTTGTGACCAAACAGGCTCCTTCTGGAAGTTTAAAGTAAAAGGGAAGAGGTAAGAACCAGATTGCTGAGGATGAAACAACAGCAGAAAAAAAAAATCTACTCCTTTTTGCCTTAAAGCATTGCAAAGCCAGCTAGAAACAGGTAAAATGCATGGTGGATGGTGGTAGCTCTCAGACAAAAAAAAAAAAAAAAATCCAAACCCCTTTTTGGCAACATCAGCACTGTGCAGGGCTTCACTCCTCTTACTGGCATGGCACATTGCATAGTGGGAGTTTGCCTGGAACAATTTTTAACCTGTTTTTCCTTGAGCAGGACATAAAATTCTTATTTTGTTGTGGCCAGTGTAATAACCTAGTGTGGTTCTTTTCACAAAAAAATAACCCACTGAGATGTTTGGAGAAAGAATGGGGCTTCCTTCCCAACATGTGATGTGTGCCATTTGGCCGACCCCTCCTTCAGTTCCATGGCAGGGTTTAATTTTATATTGTGGTATGTAGCCATTGACAGATCCTTTTGAAATGGATTAAGAGGGAGATTGGGTCCAAGATGATGTTCTAGAGCTGGCGTTAGTTTCTTTTCAAAATTGTAAACTAATGCTTCTTTATGATGAAATGGGTATTCTTTCTTTTCCTTTTCTTTTCAAAATTAGAAACAAATATCATGGTGTGCTATGTCAAACTGCACGGCAACCTATAAATAAAAACAGGAGAGAAAAGAATCTGCAAATGAAAGGTTAGAAAGGACAGCTGTGTTGTCTTTGAAAAAGAAATCTATTAGGTATTTTTATAATTATATGGCAGTCTTTTTTATGTGGTATTTACAGTTATGATTTACGTCCATATTACCATAACTATTTCCATACTTATAGACAACATGTGATAATGCTGAGAGCCAAAAGCAACCATTTGGTAGCATTTAAAAAATGCAGGAACACTAAGAGAAAACAGGGCAATAAAGCAAACCCTTCTGAGTTTTATCCATCTGAGTAATGCGAGCCAGGACAAAAATGTCATCCAACATAAACAAATGTAGAGGTTGGATTGTGGCAGTAAACTCTCTCTTTACCAATTTAAACACTCATTTTTGAGTTGAGAGCTAAAAAGATGGGCTCAGAGAAGAGTGGTAACAATGGAGAGATGGATGTTGGTGAATCTGATTCCTGCTGTGATTACATCAGGAGTCATTAAATAGTAAATTATTTATCATGGCAGTGCCTGCAAGCACCAGAGGCGTGAAAAGATGGTAAGAATTTCCATTCTAACCCCCTAATTTGTGAGTGGAGTGATGGGCATAACTAAAATGCATTAAAAAAAAAAGAAGGAACAAAAAAGAAAAACAAAAGCTGAAAATTCGTGCACGATGAGTCAGTTGCAATATGAGCATGCTACACTTTTGAGGTTTCAATAATATGTCTGAAATAAACCCCTTTGTTAACAAAACTGTGTTAGTTCCACAAGGTGTTTGTGGGTCGTTTGCCCCCAGTTCCTTAAAGATGGAGTCATTCCATAACAGAAAGCTTTTCAGCAGGCTGCTTGCAAATGGGTGTTATGTGGATTTTCTTAGGTCAAAGCCTTATCTCATTTACTCTGGAGCAGTCCAGCACAAATCCATTGACTCTGTGCCATAAACATGATGTCATTGGACTTTTATTTTTAATCTGTTGCTGAATTAAAACAAAACAAAAGTAAGAAAAAAACAAAGCCCTGATGCCTCAAGCCAAATTGTGTTTCCATTTATGCCAGGGAAGTTACTAAGGATTTATGCAGGTGTAAATGGCAGCAAATTTCTTAAATGTCTTTAACAAGATTCCAGCTCCTGTGTTCACATCCTGCCCATCAAGAGCGAATTGACAGAGATGAGGTGAAAGCAGAAATAGGGACTCAAACATTTCAGAATTAATCTGAGTGAAATCATGTTTTTCACCTGTTATGACTAAGGGAGTCTTTGTGGTATTCTGGGTATTGTAGAACTGAAATTGTGTTCTTGTAACTGAAACATCAAGATGGGCTTT